GAGACCCCCCGGCCGGGCGCGGGGTAGCTCAGCGCGGGGAGGCGTGGGAGACAGGGACAGACAGCGACAGAGCCGAGGCGGGAGGACAGGCAGAGGAGAGGCGGGAGGGGAGAGGGAGGGGAAGGCGAGGAGTGGGAGGGAGAGGCAGAGGGAGGGGCTCGCCGGGAAAGGGAGCGGAGCGCCGGCCTGGGGGCGCCCACCGTGGCGTTGGGGCCGCACCACGCGGCTGCTCGTGTCCCTATTATTCGCGAGCGCCTGAGAGCTTCAGACTCTGGTCTCCAGAGCAGGCATCATCAATCCAAGTAGGCAGACGGGGAAACTGAGGCCCAGAAGGGACTTAGCAGTCGGAAGGAAGAACAGGGAGTGACCTGGGGCAATCTATCGACCGACCACTCCCCCTCCTGAGTTTGGGGAAAGGAGACTAAAACGCCGGCCTGACTAGTCGTCCGGCTGCAAGGACAGTGGAAGGTGAGATTGTGGATAGGACAGATGTCCAGGCCGATGAGCCTCAGGGGAGGGGGTTTAAGGAAGGGAAGGAGAAATGAGTCAATGTCACCAGCAAAGGACGGGTTTAAAGGGACCCAATTTTTCTTCCACACTCCCAAATCTACAAATGCCCATTGTGGATCAAGAAAGACAAAGGAAAACAAAGACCCCAAACATGGAGGGTCAGCTTGTGGACCCCCTGGAGAGCAAGTAACAGGGAAAGGGAATCCTTGGGGCAAAATGGAGGTTTTAACTACCAGCAAGAAGTGAGAGGGTTTTAAGGAGACAGTGGGAGGAAGGACCCTGGGCAGGGAGGGGCACTAGTCAGGTAAGGACCATAGTACTCACCAGAGGCCCTTTCCCAAGTCCCCACTCAGGACTTACTCCCACCACAAGGAGATGATTCTCTTCATTAGGATTTCCTCCTGACAGCCTGGCGCTCGGTAGAGGTTGAGTGCGTGGAAGGCCTTCGAAGAATCCCATTCTCATTCCACCTGCCACCTCCACCTGCTTCTGATAGATTTGAAAGACCTGGGCTCCTTGCTGGCCCTGATGCTTGGCTGGATCCTCTAGAAAGTAAGAAAACACCATGTGATCTGGAGGGAGCTTTCCTTTTCCAAAGTTCTCAGAATTTCACCAACCACTGTTCCCTTCCTAGGAGGCCAGAGCATTGATCCGGCATAGGTTAGTTTCCTGAAGGTGTGGGTGTGACTGGTTCAGGTGAAAGGAGGTGAATGTGGGAAGGCATGAGTGAAAGCATTTCAGATAGGATAATGGGGGTATTTGGGGGCTTATAACCACCGCCTGGTCCTTATTCAATTACAACTCTCTTCCTTACTAGTTTGAGAGGCTTGAGACACAGGTCTCTTGTGTTTTTTTTTTAGGTAGAGTTGTATTTATTTATTTTTTAAGTTACAATAAAGAAATACTTTTAGTTCTTTGAACTGTCTCGCCACATAATTCTAACACTTTAATGTTTTTTAAATTTCTGTTTTACATAAATGGGGACTACCTATCGGGTGGTAACCTGCTGCTGCTCTATTTCATGTCTTAATGAATATTTTATGAGAGTTTGGTAAGAATATAAAAACCCAAATAGTTATCAGTGATACCTCAAACAACAAAATGTTGAGCAAGAAATGTTCTCAACTGACCAATCACTGTCTTCCATACTTTTGAAAAACTTCATTTTTATTTACAAATGGAATGTAAAATTTAGAACCCATAAAATCTGTACTATAACAGGTATTCAGATGACCTTATTTAAGGTAAAAGGGTCTTTCCTCCCTTTTTAAGTTTCTAAGGTGCAGAGATACCAGGATATCACTTCATAATAATTTACTAAGTAAGTATCTACCTCTGAATTTCTGGTATGGACACTAATTCCATACATTTATCAGTATTGTTCAAAATAAATGTTGTTTATTCTTTAATGGAAAAAAGCCATTAATATTCAAATGAAGAAATTACATTAAAAAACCACATTTAAGAAACAGCCTCAAAGAATATTCAAGCAGCAGTTAGAGGGATGGTAAAAAAGTTTCAACAAAACCATCCGTTATTTTCCCAAAATATTATTAGAATACAATCCAATTCACTAACTACAGTAATTCATAGAATTCTTCAATGTTTTCTTGAGATGCAAAAGTTCCCTGCTGCAGTGTTTTCAAATGACCAAGTGCTACTTCCTGGTAAAAGGCCACTGGTAGATCCATATGATTAAGAACACTCCTTCACTGCTGAAAAAATCCGCTCCCAAGAAAAGAAAACTGAATTTTATGCTGCATGTGTCACAGCTCATCCTTCCCTAAGTCATCAAGCTCCACATCACTGAGATGAATATCATCTTCCACAGGAAGCTCACCATCTTTGCCATCCCAAGGCTCTATAGAACTTATTTTAGGGAAAGCTCCACCTCCTACAGGTGCTGTAGATCCACGCCCAAAAGAAAGCTCCCTGAGAAACTCATTAATGCCCTGCTCACTGAAAGATCCTTTAAGAAGAGCAAATTTCATCTTGCGAGCATTAATGGCTGCCATGGCAGGGTATCCGAACCCCCCAATTCCCAGCGCGCTCTCAAGTTAATTCTGGGCTCCAGCTTCTGCCCCCAGTCACCCCTACATTTTCTTTTTGTATTTGTCTGCCAACTTCAGAAAAACATGCAAATAAGAATTTCAGCCTGCAGCTCCAGTGTCAAGAATATGGGGCAACACAGCCACTACACAGAGCTGGTGATCTTCACATGTCTTCTTGGCAATGTCTTCATTAATTATCTCAAGCAGCTCAGGAGGTGAGGCATTATCAGAAAACAAATCTAAGGCTCGTGAAACTATGTTGGATTTTGTCCGACCACCATCATAATCCACAGGAGACTCGCCTTTCTGAAAGATCTTGATTGTTGGAAATCCTCTAATTCCCTACCGCTGGGACAGAAGCTGATTGGCACTGGCATCTACAGCTGCTAGTTTCACTTTTCCTTTTGTTTGCTCTTTGACCCCTGTAGCTGCAGCAGCCCATTCAGGTTCTAGGTTTTTGCAATGTCCACACCAAGGAGCGTAAAACTCAATCATCCAAACATCATCACTACCAAGGACATTCTTATCAAAGGTGTCATCGGTCAGTTCAATCACGTCTTTCTTACTTGAACTCTTACTTCTGCCTTGTTTTCCAGAACTATATCCACTCTTTTCTCCAAGGCGGTCCTTGACGAGCTGCCGGACGGCACTGACAGCAGAGTCTAAAATGGCTTCAGCAGTTCTGCCACCCTGATAATCCTCAGGTCTGTTTTTGTCGGATCCAAAAATCTTGATGGTAGGAAATCCCTGAACACCGTACTGGCCTCCAATGGACTGATGTTTGTCTGCATCAACTGCACCAGCTTTCACAGTGCCTTTTAATGCCGTTGCTACTTTCTTCCATTCTGGTGTTAATCTTTGGCAGTGGCCACACCATGGAGCATAGAATTCTACAAGCCACAAGCTGTCACTCTGAATAACTTCTCGGTTAAAATTTGATGGAATTAATTCAATCACATCATCACTAGAAGAATATAGACCATTCACTGCTAGAAAGAAGGTACAGCTCACCAGACCGAGCACTAGGCGAGCCATGCTGAGCACCCCGGGCCTCTGTCCCGCTCCGGTCTGCCGCTGCTTGAGCTCTGACACAGGTCTCTTGTGAGGCCCCCGGAAGCCTGCTGGATGAGTAGAGCCGTGCTACATGGCAGGAGGTGGGAGGGGCAGCCGCAATCCTTCTGTGTCTGGTCTGCACCAGAGGGTGGTATTGTCCTCTTGAAGGTATGATTCCAATAGAGAGGAGAAGGGAGATCCTCCAGGAAGAATGATTAAACCCCAGTGGGGGCCTGGCTCTGACCTGCAGCCAGCTGACCCTGTCCTGGGTCCACAGAAAGAACTTTCACTGAAGAAGCCAGTTCAGAAGATGGAGGCAGATAATGGTGAGTTTCACTGGGGGATTACAGTGTAGGAGGGAAAGGATATGGAAGAAGAAGACGTGTACGCTGGCGGTTGCATAGGGCAGGCTAAGGCCTTGAGGAGGGATCGGAATGTAAGGTAGGAAGAGGTGGTACAGAGAAGAGAACCCCAGGTTTGGTTGTAACTCCTGCCTTATTCTGTCACCACAATTATCATTTCACAAATGGTTGGTAATCTATCATCTGTAGATTTTACTTCCCTTCCTGTATTCTCTTCACTGTTCTTCTTAGCAACACCCCCTAATTATGTCATCTGTACCTAAATCCTAACATACTCTGGACATGTTGTCAGGAGAGGCCAGTTCCTAGTGGGGGACATCATCTCAGAAAAGTGAAAAAGTGTAAGACCCTCTCAACAAGATGAATTAACACAGCAAAGTCAGTGAGGAGGGTGAAGGATTGGGCTCTTTTGTTCTGTTGGACATGGAGTCACAATGAGTCAAAACTGACTTGATGGCACCTGACAGCACCCAAATCCTGTCTCAGGCTCCACTTTCTGCTTTTGAGTAAACCCAAATTAAGACACAGAACAATCTTGTGTCTGACACTACGTGTCTTAGTTATCCAGCGCAGCTTTAACAGAATACCACCAGTGGATGGCTTTCACAAATAGAAATTTGTTTTCTCACAGTTTGTTGTCGTTAGGTGCTGTTGGGTCAAGTACAGCTCATAGCAACTCAACAGAGAAATCAGAACCTTGCCCTATCCTGAGCTATCCTCCAGGTAGAAGGCTAGGAATCTGCATTCAGAGTGCTACCTCTGAGAGAACGCTTTGTCAGCTTGAAGGAAGGTCCTTATTTACTTTGAACTTTTATGGACCCAGAGTTTATTGGAGGTCTCAGTTTGCCTTGGCATCAGTTTTCCTCTGGTTCTGGAAGGTTCTACAGGCAGGAACCCTGGACCCAAATGATACGGTACGTACCCTCCACTCTTGACTCTTTTTTTTGTGTGTGGTAATCAGGTCCTCCTCTGCTCTGTTCTCTCTCCTTTTACCACTTGGAAGATAAAGGCAATGTAAATCATACCCCAGAGGAACTTCTTTTAATTGAATCAGGGCTATGACCTGAGTAGGGGTGTTGCATCTCACCCTAAAGGCCTCACAAATGACTGACGGGCACAGCAAGTGTGAGGGATGATTACACTATTAAACAATTGTCAATTTACATCATTATATAATGATCAAAACAATGAGAATCATGGCCCAGCAAGTTGATGAAACATAATCCATGACACTGTTAAGTCTTTTCACAATCTATTACCTGATTTCTTTTTCTCAACATTTTCTGAGTTAGATAATTAACCCAACCCATCTGTAAATGAAGTGAGGATTCAAACCCATACCAGTCAGGCCCGGAAACACAGTCCTTAGCCACTATGTTCTGCAGACTTTCTAATTCTCTGACCCTCTCTGGGCCTCATTTTCTCATCTGTAAAATAAGGGATGATCTTGAAGAGAGGCCTGTATCTGTCTTGTTTCTCTTGCGGCTAGGCATGACCGAGGAGATTGTAAACAGGCATCAGTAGGAGACAAAGTTCTTTAAAGGACTGACTTAGCTGGGAGACCTACTCTTTGTTCCCTCCCTCCCTCCTCTCACCCCTCTTCCTGGATTGTGGATCTCAAGGCTGATGGTTTAGTTGCCACTTC